GCCGAAGAGTCCACGGTTGAAAAATGTGTACAAAACTTATGGGAGGTCTTCCGAAAATGTTTAAGTATGAACAAAAGTGGAACAATAGGGAGTCCACGATTGGAGGCCTTTACACACTTGGGTGTGTGTGTGTGGGGTACTTTCTAAAGTGGGATGGGGGCATATCTTACCATACTTCACTTTTCTTCCGTACCCAAAATAAATAAAAGTAGTGGGAGTAGGCCTGCATTTGATCCATAATTCAGATAAAAATTATGTGAGAAATAAAAATTTTTTTGCCAAACCATTTGCTAAGAAAAAGAAGTTAAAGTGATCTAATTGCCCTAGATTGCATGTCAAAACATAGAATGAAAAATTTTCCAGGCCCTAAAGTGAGCCCTGGCCCCCTGGATGTAATGGCTTGGTGTTCATGTTACCAGTACTTCTAATCAATGTTATGCTCTCGTGATTTTGAAAAGTATTTGACGCCCATGTGTCCTACACTTAGATGGATCATGCATAAGGCCAAACACGCATTGAAAGGAGAGAAATAAGCACTGAGCGTCTGTCTTGAACCAAGGTAATGTTACTATAGATCGAAACCCAAAGAGCGAATAAAATGAACTCTGCAAAACTCTGCAATGAGACATTCCTCATTTAATTCTTTGTACACAGGTTCATCAGTTTATCTTAATTTCTTAATTTTCCTCAAGCGTTCAGAAGACAGATCCTGTCACTGTCCTCCCTGTAGCACACAAAATTGACCCGTCTTAAATGCATGTAAATGAGCTTTTTGTTCATGCATGCATTTGTAACGTGAAACCCAACAGACAGTTCAAGAGACTCCATTATGTCACGTTTAAATATGTGTTCACAATTGTAGTGATGATGAAATTGTTCAGTAGTAGTGTAAGAAATGCACTAAAAGGCCAGCAAATTCGGAAATGCCAGTAAGCTCTGAAAGGTGAAGAACAGCCGGAGACCCAAAACTTTTTGTGCACTTTGACGACACTTCCAATTTTGAGTTCCCTGTACCAAAAGGGGATTCTCACACTCTGCAACTTAAAATGCTAACAGTGCTATGTTACCACTGTCGCCGATGTGATTGGTCCATGCTTTCCAGTGATATCATAGTGGGCGTGATTTGCTGCATGGGTAGTTTTCAAGACATGTCATTGTGCAGCCAATTTCAAAGCTGTTCCTTCTATTGCAACATCAACCCATTTGTCGTATCATTTCCTTGTTAGGTGTCAGGTTTCTTTTTTAGGTTATGATGACAGTACTAGTGCTTTTTTACAAGGACAAAAGTTTGAATTGAGAAAAGACAAAACATAGTTTTTTATTAATGAATAATATTGCTACACTTGGAAAAACTCAATAATTATTCCTCAACCATTCATTGAGAAAAACCCTTAAAATTCTCATAGGACAATTAAGACCGGGCACCGACCAACAAGCGCACATTTATTCCCATATACATGTGCATACATTTTTAGCCAGAGTCAAAAGAAGTCAACATCAGATGAATTTCTTCCTTTCCTAAGAGCCCATCCATTTTATGGAATATTTCTTGTGCAAATTGTCCATACACACTCTTGACCAATCAGAATCAAGTAATCTGTCTTGTATCCAGCTGCCAGTGTGTAAATTACGCAGCAGGCATTATCACTTCTCTGTGGGCATTATCAATACATGGTCAAGTTGCACTTCGGCTTGCGAGAATGTCTGAGGTATTTATGAATCGCTGTTTGTGGTATTGTCTCTCAGGCACTCCATACATGTACTCATTATGTATTATGACACCATAGGTCACAGCTTGACCTCTCTGTGAGTTGAGATATTACAATCACTGTGAACCCAGATCTGCGTGCTTGTCTGTCAATCTACACAACGAACACTACACTGTTTCATCCTGTTCTACAGCAGCATGACGTTAGTAATACATTGTGTATAAGTATGGAGCTGTTCTTTAGGAGAGGTAGAGTACATTAGTTCACTCTGGACTAATGAAACATAAACTATAACGAATGCCGCGAGCCATCAACGTAAGTGCATGGTAGAAGAAAATCATGCAAAATGTTGAAAACGACTATTCCTGTTTTAGCAATGGGGCAGGGGCTTTCTGCTATCTGGCAAGTTTCCACTTAAGGTGACGGTGAACTTTAAATCATTAACTCTTTGTAATGTACAGCTCTAAACTGAGAGGGTATCACTTCTTTCAGCACTCTGTCAGATAAGTGAGCAAAGCACTATCCTTTTTTGGCTGGAAAATGATGAGAATCTTAAATTCAGCTTGTTTATTGGTACATATGTGAATATAATCTTGTTTTTCTCATTTTGCTCCACCCAAGCTGGGTTTGGTGAGATTTCCCCCCTTGGCTATTTACAGTGCCCTACGTGGCAAAAATTATCACCTTTCTACAGGAGTGATATTTCAAAGAATGAGGGATGCTTACCTTTCTCTCCAGGAACAAGCAACACGTCCAAAACAGATGAGAAGGTAGTCTTTTTAGGGGCTCTTATAGTGGTAAAGTATCGCTGTGTCACATACGTGTTGGTTTGATGTGCCTTGGATTTCTGATTGAAACTGCTGGGAAGTAGACAGCGGCAATGGTATTTATTCCTTACCCACAGTTTGAGGTGGCCAATCAAGAGTGGCCACGTCCCTGAAAGTAATAGCGATGTGTTGGAGCATTTTCCAGCATCCCTGCTGTAATTGGGCAGTTCTTTCTAGTGATGTCTTAATGGGAGGGACTTCCAGGATTGCTGGTTTCTGATTGGAGCAGTTTTCAGCATCCCAGTTTTCAGCATGAGGGACTTGCAAAAATGCTGTTATGCAACTCGAATGTTTTGATGAGATTTGCCGTTTTATAGTCAACTTCATACATGCAGATGAACTTTCCACTGCAGCATCAACCTATTCACCATATCAGTTCTTTGTTAGATGGGTTCATGCGTGCACAACTTTGCACCTGGAATGGCCTACTGTAAACAAGGGGACAAAGAAGCAGTCATGTGATTGGGGTTTCATGGCATTCCAGCAGTTCTGGTAAAGGTTATGGCTCATGAGGAAATGAGCAATACACAGACCACTTGTTGATTTATTTGATGTTTTGGGTCATCGTTAAAATTGACTTCATTTTCCAAAGCTAAGTTGAGTTGAGAAAAGACAAAAAAGTATACTTTTCAAGTAGTTTTTATTCAGGAATATATTACTACACTTGAAAGACCCAGTTATTATTCCTCAACCATATTTAAATTCTCATAGGGATATTAATAAGAGTGAATATTTAAAAACACACATAATTGTACATAAGAATTTGAATACATTCTCCTACAGATCTTATAAACATGGCAGTGGCGTAGCTGTGTGCGTGTGTTGGGGGAACTGTCCCTCCCTGTGGTGCTTCTTCCCCTGCACCCTCTCTGAAAAACTGAAAATTACTGAAAATTTTTAATGGGGGAGGGAACTGTCACCATACCATTTTTAGTGTGTTGATAACCAGTTACTTCAGTGCAGACATTGACCTCGTCTACAACGTTCTTGAAAAAGCTGTCCACAATACAAACTCAGAAGTCCGGGGAGGGGTTTAGGGCAATTGACCCCTGTGGGAACTCCCCCCCCTCCCACTTGCCGACCTTCTGAGAAGAGTTTGGTTATACCATTGGAAAACACAGAAAAAATGTATAAAAACNGCAAAGATGAATAATTGTCTCCAGAATTTTGGGTGCATTTTGGATTGCTGTTAAACCTGTTTGGCAGCAGAAAATGTCAATAGTAAGTAGTGTATTAATGTTTGATATTTCAACTTGCAGGAGTTCTTTAGAAGAGGCAAAGCAGAAAAGGCTCACTGGACTAATAAACCGTACATCATAATGAATGTTATGAACTGTGAACTAAAGTTTGTTGTAAAAGAAAATCATTCAAAGTCGTCACATAACCTTATATTTTGAAAATGACTGAATTTCTAGTTTTTCTACTGTTTAGCAAGTTTCTACTGAAGGTGACGGTGAACATAAACCATTAACTATTTTTAATATGCAGCTCTAAAATTAGAGGGTATCACTTCTTTACAACTGTCAACCAGAACAAAATCTTTGTGGGTAATTCCACTGAACAGGCTAAAGGTCTTTCAAAATTATGGGGCAGAGACACAATGTACACCCTGGAAATTGGGTAGCGAGTCGTGGGGATATCGAGTTGTGACTGGTTGCGTGTTTGTTTCACATGGATCTTCTGTAGATCAGTAATCAGTTGGTTCACTGACACCAGAATCCACCAAATGGATGGTGGGAACCAGCATTGGGACCACTGATTGAGATCCAGATCTATGTGAAACACGCAGGCTCCCACAACTATGTTACCAGTATGTATATACATGAACATGTATTCTTATAATATGGTGCATGTACATGGAAACCTGCGTGGTTACAAACTTTGTGCACAAATGCACATGCGGGCATGAAAGAAAATAATGGCTGTTGATCTAGTTTCAACGCATATGTTGCATTTTCTCCTTTGTGCATAATGTGACATAATCTGCAATCATTCTCCGCCCTGGCCAGATGTATCTCTTTTCAATCCCTAATGCACTTAACACCAGCTTTAACCAAGTGTAACTCTTTCTGTGATGATGGGGCATCATGGAAGCCAAAGCGCTAAGATTTTCTATCCCCCAGTTCCAGAGACTCTGAGTCAATTTATTGTACATGCGATCCCTAGAGTGATAATAGAGAATTCTACTTGATTGCTCCCAAACATGTAGCTGATACGTGTGGACCATTTTGGCCGTTGTGCTGTAGATAAGGGGATCTCTGAGACCCTGGAGAAACACTTCCAATTCAGCCTCCCTTTCAGCACTGTGTCTTAGAATTTGTGAACATGCCATTCTCCAGCCTTGTCGACTTTCATACTTCAGAATCTGCCTCAAGACAATGTCCCATTCATCTCCCCCGTGACATCTGAGAATCTCTTGCGCCAAGACTTCCCGTCCAGGCACCTGTCGAATTTGGTCCAAGACTGTCCTCCAGTATCTCCTCCCGTGATATTCAAGAATCTTCTGTATAACTACTTTCCAGTCCTTCCCTTGCATTGCTTCCAGAGTGATGTTTGGCGCATTCATTAGTTTCACTGACCCTTTGTGGTGGGCCCATTGGTTTGGGTGATAGAGGAAGGCAAATTTAAAGGTGAATTGAATGTCAGAATAGGTTTGTGCATATTGCAGTATTTCTCCAGCACACTCAGAACAGGGTGA